AAGGAAGTATGAGAAAGCACAGTTGAAGAATATGTATGCCAATCTTAGAAAGGATTGGCGTGGATGCTACAACTTATTCAGAAAAGAAACTGGATTAGGGTAGGATCATGTGAATAATACTATCGTAGCACTAAATAAGTGTTAGGAGAGTAAACATGTGGCATGTTATAAGAATAATCGATTGTTTTGTAATACTTAGATATGTATGTTTGTTTGTTGGTACTTTTTATTTGATGATGAGTTATGAACATGCAGGAAAACCCTCTTTATAAAAATTTTAGGAATAAGAGACATCAATTCGTCAATGAACTAACCATACTTTTCAAGGATATAATGGCTAATGGAGAGTATGCATGGGCACCTTTTTGTGGTGTATTGCCAAGTGGGCCAGATAATGATGGTAATGACGTATTGTCGCACCTCAAAAATTCATTTGAATAAGGTACGACCCTCGTGCAAGAGGAACAAAAATGAGGTTCGACACATCCGCCACCGAACTTTATTTATCCCCCAAAAGAGGGAAAGGAAAATATTGAGAAGACCTTTTTAGAACGAAAGGATAGGAACATGATCGTTGCAACCGATGTTCCGAGTTCGGGAGCCGGTTACACATGGGGAAGGTATTAGCATCCCTCACATCCGTTGTACTCAACGGAAACCTCTTAGGGTGATTTGCGATAGGCGTTATCTAAGTTTGCTTATTTTCTTCTCAATGGTAAATGTGAAATGGTAAGATAAAAAGACGTTAAGAAGAAAATTGAGGGTTATAGGATAGGGTGCTCGCCAAGGATTGGGGCCCTCACTACAAGAAAATTCATGTTTTACGACGGTTTTTTTTGGGATTACGGCAGTTTTGACTGTCGCAATGTATGAAGTACGACAATTTTTCAACTGTCGCAGAACTTGGCGTCGCGAGCGTGAATTGCGACGGTTTAGATAACAGCCACTCCAACTGTCGTAACATATGGAGACGGTTATTGAACTGCCTCCAAATAAAAATTGTGACGGTTCTGAACCGCTGCCAAAATAAATTGTAAATAATTAAAAATTCAAGATTACGACGGTTACAACCGCCGTATGTTGCAAAAATGTTTTTAAAAAATTTAACATGCTTTTATTTACAAATTTCAATAAATATATTTTTATTAAAACTAAATTACATCCTTAATTAAAATTATAAACTAATTCATAAACTAAAATATATATTACACATTTATACAAAATAATTTAAGAAAACATAAATAAATCATACATTATATATATGTAAAAGTATATAATATAAAGTAGAGTTATACCTAAAGTTTAGTTACTATATAATAATACTCTACTAAGGACTATACAAGAAATTGTGAGAAAACATAGTTGATGTCAGAATTGAATTTGTTGACATAGTTAGGTTAATGGTGTAACATATTAACCTGTTCTTCATATTTAGTTTAAGGATTGCTTTGTCACAGTTGTCTTTCATTCTTCAGTTTGAACAATGAGATGAAGAGCTTGAACAAATTTGAGAAAAATGAGATGTTGAAGCGTCGATTGCAGTAAGAGTTTCTCGACTACTACAACCACTACCTCCACTTCAGCAATAGTAAGAAGAAGAAATCCTCTTGTCTCACGTAAGCAAACCTACAGCAAACCGACATTTCAATAGATCTTCAAACAAAACTTAAAAGAACTATATCACAAAAAATCACAACAAATTCCTATAAAACAACAACACAAACCTACTTGTAACTATTCATAGAACTAGGTTTTCCAAAAGGCCACTCAAATGAAGGCGAGGCGAAGCTGCGAGCTGACCAGCAAGAACATTGAGGAATGTTGTTTTGCCATTTTTTCACCGGTACATATCATAATTTGTTTTCATGAATTAATGGATTCTATAGCAAATCACATTTCAAATTATGTTTTAACAAAGTCACCTAGTTATCATTTAAACTTCATTAAGTTCTTAACAGCTAACCCATTTTGTTCTAGTCTAATTCAAATGTGATTCTGCAGTCACTAACTTCAATAGTTTAGCAAAGAAAAACCAAATTCAGCTAGCTTTATTAACTCAAATATTTTTAATTGAAATTCATTTTTTCGGACTGCACTAACCGATAACAATTTCTATCAAGTTAACATCAACTAACTTAATTGTGATAACCAATTCACCTACACTAGTTAACTTCATCCATTAACATAACAACAAGCAATGCAATAACAATTAACACATCATAATTAACTTCATTAATAACTAACAATCAACTAATTTCATTTACTAACTTCCATAACCATTTCAAACTAACTCACCAAAGTAACTTCACCAATGGAAAATTCACTTACATTAGCTAAAGCCTTCCTAATAGTTTTTGATATTGATTTGCTTCATAATAATTGGACTCTTGAAACTCTCATTCAAAATTTTTAACAGTAATGGCTCGCTTGCTAAAACAATCATCACACATTCATCCTTCACAAATCCAAGCTACCATCTAACTCTAACTAACATACTCATTCATTTTCCCCAAACAGTTTTTCTTTCCATGTAACTAACTAACTTCATCCATTTTTTCACCAAATAACTAATTGTTGTACCAAGTTTCCTTTCAAATCCTGACTCATATTACTATGATAAATGAGATTCAAAACTACTATAGTAGAACAATTTAATAAAACCTAAACTATAACACAGATAAGCAGTAGAAAGTAAGAATTGAAGTGGTCAAAATATTGAAGAAATATAGAGCCACCAACCAAACCGTACATGCTTGATGCTACACCACTATTAAATAACAAATTAAAACTTAAATGAATAATGATCAACACCATACAAATTTGGAACCCTCCTAAAGGAACAACGATTTCACAATTCACATCAAATCTCCATCATTACCAAATATCAATTGTATCTTAATGTGAAAATCATTCTAAGCATATTAGTTGAAGTAGTAGATAGCTTTCCTTTATCATTAGCACCGACGTCGGCCCTAGGGACCGCTATCATTAGCAAATCATCATCCTTAACACAATGGCACTCAATTTCTGAGAATTGCTCACCTCATTCCCATTAAAAAGAACACTGTATAGGCACACTTGTCTATTCAAAAGCACATAAGACTCTTTTTGAAATGTAACTCTTTCAAAATCCAGTACAGATGTTCTAGTTGCTGCACTGTAACAAACACCAAGAATTTGTTGGCCTTGATCTATCAAAACCACAGTTTTACACCAAACAACAATGCCAATAACAACCACACCAAGTAAGTGAAATAACTAAATAACAAAAAAGAAAATAAAAAACTTAAACTAAATCATATAAAACAAAACTTACCTAGTAGAGATGGAGAGACATTCATATGGAGAATCAAGAGTCATAGAACAAATCATAACAATAAACCAAATAACAACCACAATAAAAAGTTAGAACTATCACAAAAGAAATTAGAAAATAGAGCTCAAAATCATGATAAAGAAGACAGAAAAAATTTAGTAATAAAATAAACATCAATTTACCCGGAAGAGCTGAGCCTTCAAATTAGAATCGCGTCTAAAATGCTGCTGAAAAGCACTGGGGTTTATAGAAGATCCATCAATATTGAAGCTCAAACCATTGGCAGAACCACTGAAATAATTTAATCTCATCATAAATATTAGCAAGTTATCGAAATTGTAATTATTCAACTAATTGTATCACTGGTGAAACATCAACTTGTTGATTACATCGATTAACACAAGCATAAGAACATAGTCAATTCACATACTGATTAACCTTAAAGGTTTAGTTTTGATTTGAGAATACTGGTAAACAATGCATTATCTTGAAATGTAAAATCAATGGAAATTATACCTAGAAGCAACAACACCAGCACCAACCCCTTTCTTAGAGACCGTTATCGTTAGCGAATCATCATCCTTAACACCCACTATTACAAAAAAGTTTTATAATAGCGCTTTTTTTTCTTTTTAATAGCGCTTTAAAGCGCTATTAATCAAGCCGCTATTGTAAAACAAACTTTTTAATAGCGCTTTAAAAGCGCTATTATAGTACTGGTAATTAATAGCGTTTTTTCAAAAGCGCTATTATAGTACCTGTATTTAATAGCGCTTTTCCAAAACCGCTATTATAAGTCACATATTTGATAGCGCTTTCAAACAAAGCGCTATTATAGTACCGATAATTTGCTTTAATTTTGATAGCACTTTCAAACAAAGCGCTATTATAGTACACATATTTAATAGCGCTTTCAAATAAAGTGCTATTATAAGACACATATTTAATAGCACTTTCAAAAAAGCGCTATTATAATCCACATATTCGATAGCACTTTCAAACAAAGCGCTATTAAAATACCGGTAAATTGCTTTAATTTTGATAGCACTTTCTAACAAAGCGCTATTATAGCACGCTCTCTTCAAAACACTATTCTAATACACTTTTTTTTACACCAAATCATTTATATATATATATATATATATATATATATATATATATATATATATATATATATATATATATATATATATATATATATATATATATATATATATATATATATATATATATATATATATATATATATATATATATATATATATATATATATATATATATATATATATATATATATATATATATATATATATATATATATATATATATATATATATATATATATATATATATATATATATATATATATATATATATATATATATATATATATATATATATATATATATATATATATATATATATATATGGCATTTGCATTTTATGACATTAGAATTCATAAAATAATAATGACTAAGCAGCTAAAATATTTGAAAATAAAATAATAATGACAAATGTAATACCATATATATCTATACTATATATACCACTGCCATAATAAACACATAAGGAATTGTATCTATGTATTAATTTGGAGTCTATCTTCAGGGAGATTGAACAAAAATCTAAAATACCATAGTGTTAACATAAAATTTAAAGTAGAAGTTTTAGACAGAGAAAAATATTATAGTTCACTATCATAAGGAACACCTCTAGTGGGAATCCAAGAGTCAGCATCCAAGAAATAGGAAGCCGTGAAAACAAGTGCTTGATTATGGTTGCCAAGAACTCTAACACCATGCCATTCCACTCTACCATCCGTGTTTGACCCAGGTCCAACATTCTCAAACTCCACATAGGTGACATTATCAGTGCCCTGCCCCGGAATCTCTTCCCAACCTCTAGAATCTACCATGGAATCAATGTAACACTGCAAAATAGCAACTGTCGAATAGTTTCTCAATGGCCGACCCAACGTAGCACGCACCTCTGATTTTCTCTCCTCATCTTCAGGTGACATAGTAAAACTACAACGTTGGAATATTTTATATGAATAATGTTGTCAATAAAGAGAACTGAAAACTAGATCAAAGGTGTCGTCATGGATGAAAGACAGTGTTTCAAAAGACTTACGTGAAGTATGAGTTGTCAAAAATGAGAGGATTAGAAGTCCATGGTCTCTCAAATCCAGAAAGTTCCTTGTGTGCAACTAGCAATGACAGAAGACCATTTGGCCATAGAGTCTCTAATACCATGCCATTTGATAAATAATTTTCCCAAAAAAGAAAAATAGACATGTGTGTGCTCCTTAGATAAAGAAACATCAGAAGGATTAACACAAAATTCCATGAAAAGTCAAGGGTTGTAAAGGTTCTGACGCGGTGAAATTTGGATACCAAACCATTGATTAGTTTGAATCGTTAATTCAATTTGCAACTGAACTTTGATTTTGTCCAAAGGAAAGGATAAAGATCGAAATTCCCACAATGCAATGCAAATGCAAGCTAGAGAGTTATAGGTTCGGGGGTTGGTTAAACTTAGGGAAGGTACTAGCATCCTAAGTTTCTGTAGTACTCTACAGGAACCTCTTGTTTTATGTTTGTTTATTGCTAAGGTTTATCTGCTTATTGGTTAAAAGACCTAAGGGTTTATTTTCTAAGTATACTCGATAAGGTGTCGCATCTTATGCCTACATATCCTTAAGGGAGTGGAATCAGAGTATCTGTAGTTCCCCTAAAGGGTTTGAGGAGCTCTTTGACTGTGGTCAAAGTTCCTACGGGTTTAGGGTAATTGCTTTGAATGGGTTTAGGAGAAGAGACGAGTCTTCATGTTAAGGGAGATATAACCACCACAAGTGTAAAAGGGATTGTAGGAAATGGTCTTTGCATCGTCTTAAGAAAAGGTCTTAAGTACTCGGATGGTCGCCAAGTATGCCTTTATCGCTCTTAAGGTAAAGTCCCTACGTGTTTGATTGTATTATTGTGGAGGTGGAGATTATATCTCACTTGAGATGATTAACATCTATTCTCTATTTGTGTTTGAAAAGTTTGTATTGTTGATTGTTTTATGTTTGTCTAAGTTGTAAAGATTAAGACGAGGTCCTTCCTATGGGGTAGGTCCTAAACTTAAGTGATCAACTTGAATGGAATCAAGGATCGAGGGGATTATGATGCAAATGATATGCAACTACACACAACGTTGAATTATGTGTAGGTTTTTCCTTTGGACGAATGCGATGCATAAGTATAAATGAGATAATGTAAATTGCTGAAGAATAAATTGCAGAAAGGTACGCCATACATGTACGCATGAAAGCGCTAAGTGAGTGTGTGAGTGTCGTGAAGTGAGTGTGCTCAATTAGGTTGTGCTTTTACGCTGTGGATTGATTTTAGATGGGATTGATTTCGGTTTGGATTATGTTTTAGTGAGGTTATGATTGTTTTTTTTTTTTTTTAAGTTAGATTGATGAGTTGATTTTAGGAGAAAAAGTGTTAATTTCAAATTGTGAGTTTGAGTTTATAAGTTGATTGACTTTTAATAAAAGGGGTTTAGTTTACACAAATATTACCATAGATAAATAGATTTAATTATGAATGAGAGGTTAAATCATTTATAATTATAAAAAGGGATTTTTATTATTAAAATGAATTTCATTTTAAGAGATTACAAGTTATTAATATATGACCTTTTTTATTAAATAAGTAGAAGTCAATTTAAGTTAAGAAACAAATTTTTACTAAAGAAACAAATAATTAGCTGTTATTAAAATGAGTTTATTTAAAAGAATGCATAAAATAATGTTTCACTATACCTAAGTTACTAAACTGAAATTATAGTTAAGTGATTAGGAAATTTTAAAAGTTAACGATGATTAAAGGGTTAGGATTAGAAGGTGATTAGTGTGTAGTGTGTGTGTGGTGTTAGTGTTTGCAGTATCATGGTTACAAATTACAACATAAGGCAAAAAGGAGAAACGAAAGAACCCTAGGTTCTCGCCGCTCGTCTCTCTCAATCTCCTCACACTCGCTCCTCTCTCACGGTCGCCTCCAATCGTGTCTCTCTCTCTCTATGGGTTTCTCCTTTCGTCCCTGTGAACCTGAAATCAAACAAAGAAACATCAGTAGTTTAGCGGCATTGATAAGGATAAAATCTTTACCGGAAGTTGCGGGTCGCGACGATGTTTGAGACGACGGATTGACTTCGCGGTGGTGGCTTCGCCGGGAAAGATAAGTTCTCTTGGCCTTCTAGGTTTTTTTGAATGTAGGGTTTGTGATGATTTTCGTGATTGATTGTAAAATATTTTTTCGGGGTCCCTTCTTCTCTTCTCAACCTTCTCTTTATATAGACCTTGGTGGGGATTTTCCGATTTGAGTGCTTTGAAATTTTTTTAATGTGGATTTGGACCTTCCGTTTTTGTTCAGCTGAGATTTGAAATAGTTTCCTTTTTCGTGATTGTAGTAATGAGCCGTTTAAATGATACCTCAATCTCTGATTCTGTGATTCAAATTCGAGATTGGAATCTGAATAGCATCTTCTATTTCAGGTAATATTCTTCAGATGCTTTCTTTTGACTTTGGATCTATATTCTTGGCAGGTGTGGATAATAATCAAGTTGGGCCAGAGAACGAGTTAGAAGGCCAAAGGGGGAAGACTTGTGTTGGATGCGTGTGTGAACTTCCACGGAGAAATGGTGATGAAGAGTAGCAACTACAAGCATTCTCAGGGTATACTCTCAAATTCCATCTCTGTTCCTATGGTTTTGTTTAACTTGATGTGTATTTTGAACCTCTTCCCTTTCATGTGATCCCAGGGAGCGTGGATTGGCGAATGGCGAATAATTTCGGCGTTTGCAGAGATCAGAATGGAGTTATGGAAACTCTGAAGCATGATGGTGAGGATTAAGTTCAAGCTTATTTTAGAATAACCACTTCTAATTCCTTTTATGAAGATGTTCTGTTGGCTTCTCTATGCAAGGACGACGAGGCAAACTTTCTTGGCCTAGGATGGATTACGCACGGTCTCCGCATTATTCCCTTCCTAGTATAATCTGCTGTTATCAATTACATCCTCACGACATTTTGTTTTGTGCTTTTAATTCAGGTTGTAGGCAATATGTCATCACAAAGACTGGTTCTAGATGACGACAACGGTCGCTGCACACTCACTCCTTCGTTAGTCGACGGTGCTCCTGTTTCGGGTTTTTTCTTTGCATCAATGACGTACTCTCGCATAGTAAGTGTCCTGGGCTGCCATAAATGGATTCATTTGCAGGTGCTGTTCGTTTTTCTCATCTGTTTTTGTGTATGTGATTGTTGCATGAATCCAGGATTAAACACAATTGGTGCAGGGGTGCGTATCAAATCTTAAACCGGGAGGATGAGTGCCCTGAATGGATGGGCTTATCAATGTTGCAGTTGCCCTCAGCTGATATCTCTGCAAATTTTCTTCTTGTTCATGTGTTGGTGATGCTAGTGGCAGCTTTCAAGCCTTGCCATGGAAGACTTCCTTTCAAAGAAACCAAGTGACTCTAAATCATCTCTTCATTATTGTTCAACTCCAAGGTGAGTATTTAACACTTGCATATTGAGTTGTTCCAGTCAGGTTCTTGTTTTCCTATAACCTGTTGCTGTGGAGATAATATTGATTGCTATTGTGTTTCGGTTTGCAGGAACGAATTCGCTTCGGAAGCAACCTGCTGCGTTTTCGTTCGCAGGAACCATTCATGGATGTGGCACGTGAGGAGTAAAGGCTATGTGAAAATGTTGATTCCTGATGAATTAAATTTGGCTAAATGGTCTCAATTAGTGGCTGCATTGGACAGGTGACCGAGTGCTCCACGTGCATGAAATTCTCTCACGATGGTCTTGACAATTTCAGAGTCGAATCTAACCAAAGCAACTGTTTCATCATCCTTAGCAGGAGAGATCGAGGGTGAAGAAAGAGCATTCATCAAGTTTGCTGCTATGATTGAACTTCGGTAATTGCGTCTTTCAACTTTAGGAAGCTCTTTTGGTGTTATACTGTTGTGTGGCAAAGACAAATGAGAGCCACGCGAATCTGACATCTTTCTTCTCTTGCGGGTTCCTTGATGTTTAACAACATCTTGAAGAGATGGAATCAAACTCAACATCTGATGTTATTTGCTTACGAGATTTTTGTCACGTGCAGGTGATTCTCAGTAGTGCTAAACTTAACTGTGCATTCCAGGCCTTAGGACACGGCAGTCGTATCACATGAAATAAATCCAGCAGTCTTGAATGATTCAACTGGTAGTACATCAGGTCTGGAACTTGGTGCAGATATGGATGCTGCAGTTGTTATTAATTTGAAGGTAGACACTGCCTCTTGAACTTCAGTAGAGGGGGAGTGGTGCTTGATATCACTTGGATGAAGGACCTGTTATGGCGTAGAACAATAGTCGAGGGTGTTGCGTTCACATATTTGATTTATACGCACTGACCATTGGGAAAGTTTGCTCCGGAAGTTGCAGGTTATCATCAGAAGTTTCAATTGAGTTGTTGCCTCGTCATATCTGATTCCAATATATGCTTCAAAGGTAGCTTTATCCACAAAGTTTGTCTTTGTAAGTTCTCATATGGCCTGTTAATTTCTTGAATCAATTTATGACTTGTTAATTTCTGTTTTCATGTTACTCCTCCAAGGGACTGTTTGGTGACATGGAGTTGTTTGGTTTCAGGTTTACTCAATGCAAGGCCGGATCGAGGAAGCTTTGGCGGTGATGAATCTGATCAGAAGTTCAGGAATTACTCCTAATGTGGTGCCTTGGCCTACTCGGATATCAGGATGTTCTCAAAACGGGAAATGCACAAATGCCCCACAGGTTTTCAACCAAATGCGAGCTGAAAATGTAGAACCGCCATGGCAAATAGGTGATGATTCTCTGCGATCAGGGGATGCAATAACACTCACAACTCTTCTATCTGGCTGCAAGAAATCAGGTTTAGTCGAAGAAAGGTGGAGATATCTTGACAGCACGCATGAAGATCAATGATTGAGCACTACTGTTGCGTGGTAGACCTTCTTGTAAATCAAAATACTCTTGTGGGAATTTATTGCTGTAACTTATACTTTGTGCTCCCCGAGTTTTCTTACGGAGGCTTTCAATTGTAATCTTCGGTTGATTAAAATCTGAATACTTATCAATAAGTTGTATGTGAATAGCTTTCAAAATGTGGAAAACAAGCTTGGCAGTAATTATCCTTTCTGCTGATTCCTTCAAGACTACCGCCCTTGATTTGCTTTTATTTATAATGTGATATTAACACTTTTGACAATGTTTGTCATTGATATTGAAAGGCTATCACTTCCTCATCATTAATCGCGTGATGCTAATTTCCCATAGTTTTGGCTTTTTCGCTCCCAGCTTGTTGATAGAAATGACACCAACCAACGTGCCATCATACTAAACCGAATATTGTACCGAAGAAGAACTTATGAAACTAAGGACTTGGTAAATCATTCTTAATCCTTTATGCCCATCTTCACTTGATGAATGGAAAGGGTGTTTTGATAAGGGATGAATCATAAATTCTAGAACCAATCATGCACTATGCTCGAGTTTTGATCTTGTGAGTGTTTAAATTAACAAAAGGGTTTGAAATGGACATGGTCTTCCATTTACATTAGCAGATTTGAACTGATTATATCATAAAAAAAATTATTAAGCATTGCAACTCCGATAAGTTCGATCACTGAGGTGGATCTCATAGCCTTGACTTGGCTTTGAGGATATCTTGCACGAACTTGATTCAACATGTTTCAGACCTTGTCATTTCAAAGTAATATTATCCCTGAGTCATTAATCCATTTCTCCTTTCTTGATAATTAAAGCCTTGAAAGCGTAACCTGCGATACCGCTTGCCATGTCACCGTAACCAGTCCTTGAACGATTACACTCCACATCCATGGAAAGAAAACGATCTAATCTACACCTGGCATTGTTGCCTGCGTAAAAACTGGTTAGTTGTAATAAATATATACCAAAGTGAAAATAAAACAAGCAGGCGGGATCTTAAGGTCAAAAATTGGGGTGCAACCAAATGCTAAGAAGATATCTTCAGCTGCTAAATGAGAATGGGACCAATACATATAAATACAACATGCTGTCATATTCTTCATCACCACAGCTCATGTACTCTGTCTCGATCTCGCAACGAACAACAAACCTTTCACACCAACACCAACTTGTCACTTAGATAACACATGTTTAACTTGGGGTGATGATTTGAAACCCAGTTTAGGTTCTCAACGGATCAGGAAAGCAGTTGTTGAACTGTTGTCGAAGGACACTTTCCTATCTCGTCAGTGTATATAGGAAGTATTTTTCTCTAGCATGATGCAGCAACTTCCACCGTCAAGTCATTCAATATTCTCGGTTATATCCCAGACCTATTGTTGCATAGAAAATTTTAGATGTAAAAAAAGTGTTATGTATATAGTTGTGTTTGAAGGTGTGAATGATCATGGACTGTGCTCAGAAGGTGTGGATATAACATGGATGTGAAGCTGGTTGATGATCTAATTCTAACTTTGAAATGTGAACCTGATCAGGGTCTTGAATTGACAAATGAAGCAATTGATTTATTGAAGGCACTTTTTAATGAAATTGACGGTGATTCCGGTAAAGTTTTGCAGCCTTTAGGACTTGAAGAACCGTTCTCTACAGTTCCAAAAATTCCTCGGATTGAAAGTCCATACGAGGATGCTTTAAGAAGGAATGCGTGTGGAGGATTACCAGCTGGTTCATTCATGACACTTTCAAACTCACTGCAATGCATTGACAACAATAGAGCTCAACAACTCAAGACAACTTCTGTGAAGATTCAAAGTTGAGAAGTTGCAGTAATTGCTGAGACAAGTATCTAATACATACTTGTTAGAAACAAGCATTAGAAAATAGCTTGAAAGTTCACTACAGTAGCAGAAAAATTACCAGATATACTTTTTCTCATTGCGGCCAAATTCTGCGCATCCAAATTCTTTCTTTTAAGCCAGGATCTCTTCATTAAGGTAAAGTTCCAAGGTGCTTCATCGAATGCCCCACACCAAGCTGATGTCGGTACATGAAAATCAACACAAAAAACACAAAGTTACCAGAGCTTTCAACAACAAGAATATGCATCAGGTTAACAATGGGATTCATAGCTTAATGAACAAAACAATTAAACCAGTCCAAATTATCTAAGAAAGCAATTATGGTTTTAATAGTCGAGAATCGACTTAAAGAAAGCTACCGAGGATTAATTGTTGGCTTGGTAACATTAGCTACAGGTCTACTTATTGTTGCTGCAGGAGTAATATCAAATATATTTCTTCACAAGGACGAAAGACAATATTAGACTAACACTTGAGTCCTAATATAATATGATAATCATTCAGAATAATTAACTATTTTTTTCTCTGAGGCATTTAATCGAACATCTAACATACATATCAATTATAAGAGCAAAAAATATCAATTCTAGTATGCTTAAGAAATACCTGTGCAATGTGTGGTACTACAATGGCATTCTTCAACTCTGCAAGCCCGAGTTTCATGTAGGGCTCTTCCTAATAAAAAAGCAGGTGGTAACGTCATGCCGTGCACTGTGTTACAACTTTGGTACCCTCAGAAACTAAAGAAACTATATATGATACCAAACATATATGATACCTCATATCAATACAAAGCAAGGATAGAAACTAAATTATCTTCAAATTCAAATCCCTAATTTTACAATTTACAACACAAAGCAATAATCTGAGAAAAGAAAGATTACCAGATATCAATGAAGAGAAGGGTGACGGTGGTGAGCTGATGACGGCGGCTCCTTTCGACGGAGAAGGATGACGGTGGTGAGCTGATGACGGTGGCTGAGATCGACGGAGAAGGATGACGGTGGTGAGCTAATGACGGCGGCTGAGATTGACGGAGAAGGATGACGGTGGTGAGCTGTCTTAGGGTTCCTCTTTTTATTCCAGTGAAGTGAATCGATGAAGAAGATGGTTGTGCATCGATGAAGAAGCGGTGAATCGATGAAGAAGATGGTTGTGAATCGATGAAGAAGCGGTGAATCGACGAAGAAATGTGAAGATGACTGTGTTTGCTTTTTTTTGCGTGGTTTGCGCCAAAACGAAAAAACATATGGGCCAGGAAAGGTTTTGATATTTTAATTAATTTAATTTAGTGGAATATTTTAGTAGCATTTTTTATAAAAGTGCTATCTTAATACACAATGATAGAAACGATAGCGGTTTCTTAGGAAGCGCTATTGTAGTTAAATATTTTAATAGCGGTTTTTGAAAAGCGCTATCGTAGTTCTTTTAATAATAGCGCTTTTATAAAAGTGCTATTGTAATGCAACATTTTAATAGCGCTTTTTAGAAAAGCGCTATCTTAGTGAAAATCTATAATAGCGTTTTTTTATAAAGTGCTATCAAAATCATATTCTCTGTACTCTTTAATAGCGCTTTATTATAAAACGCTATTATAAATATGTTTGTTTCCTTTTTAATAGCGCTTATTTTAAAAGCGCTATTAAAGTAGGCGATACAAAATAGCAATTTTGGCGTAGTGACCAATGGCACTCAATTTCTGAGAATTGCTTACCTCATTCCCATTGAAAAGAATCTATTGTTGTTGTATATGCAGTCTTCTCTATTGAAAAGCACATCAAAAACCAAATTAACAAAACCAGCATCGGCGCCGGACCTAGAGACTGTTATCATTAGAAAATCATACGATACATTTTCACATCATCATTTTTCAGTTTTAGCGTGAAAGATGATTTATCATTTCATTAGAAAATCCTAATCGATAGAAGCATAAATAGAAAACCCTAATTAACAGAAGCACCAATAGAAAAGGATATTGAAACTTACAGAAAGAGAACTTGATGTGAGTTGGGAAGTGGACTTGACGCCTTAATTTTCGCAACCATACATAAACTCGCCACACAAAAGAATGGATTTCAAACTAAGAAGAGTGAGATAGGATGCTCAGATTCAAAAGGAAACGATTAAAGCTACTTAACAATCGTATTGATGTCACTCAACCAAAGTCTATGTGAACAAAGGAAAAGTGAAATAACGCCCTTTGATAATTTTCAGTAACTACGTTTGATAAATTTTCAGTATGTGTTGAAATAGCACTTTGATAAATTTTCAGTAGAGGGACAACGGTTGGTGAAATAGCGCCCTTTGATAATTTTCAGTAATTACGTTTGATAAATTTTCAGCATGTGTTGAAATAGCACTTTGATAAATTTTCAGTAGAGGGGCAACGGTTGGTTCACTGTCGTGAACTTAATTTTAGGGCGGTTTAATCATAATTGTCGCAATATTTGTTAATTTTTTAAAATTATAAGGACGGTTGGTGTAAACCGTCATAACAACTGTCTCTGTATGAGAGTTACGACGGCTATCAAGTTAGTGTCACAATTTTTGTGTCGTAAAATGTTAATTTTCTTGTAGTGCCTTATGCCTACGTATGCTCATTTAGACGAGAATGAGAAATCAGAGCGTCGTAGTTCTACCATGGGAAAGGATGGGGGAAATGGAAGATATAGGGAAATGTGGACGGAATAATGGAGAAATATGGAAGTGTGCTCGCCAAGATCATAGCAATCTTGTACCTACGTATCTTACATTCAGACGAGAATGAAGAACCAGAGCGTCCGTAGTTCGTGGAGACGACTACGAAAAGATGAAGGGTTGAATTGAGTTTGAAGTTAAGTTGATTTGGAGACGAAAGACTGAATGACAAACAACCCGAGGGGCGTACCTCGAGATTTTTCACTCAAAAATTTAAGGAACGCGAGATTCCAAGAACTCAGTTCTTTCGAAAGTTGATTAAAATGGGTTGAAAGGAAAGGGTTGAACGTTTTGAATTCGAAAGAGTGGATGAAAAACAACTCAAGGGGCGTGCCTTGAGAGCTACACATTCGGAGATTCAAGGAATGCTAGACTCTAAGAATATCTTTCTTTCGTAAGTTCGATTACAAAAATGTTTAA